GCAGTGGTGAGTGTGGACATCCCTGCTGTGTTCCTGACCTTAGGGGAAAAGCTCTCAATTTTTCCCCATTGAGAATGATACTCACGGTGGGTTTTTCGTAGATGGCTTTTATATTGAGGTATGTGCGCTCTATCTGTATACTGTGAAGAGTTTTAATTTACATTTCTAATCAAAGCAGCAATATATTTTGTTTACAAGAAAATTATTCAGCAATTGTTTCTAAGATCAACTGTATTTAAATACAATGATAGGATTCCTCCCCACCACCAACCAATCTCATAAGTTGCATTTAAGGATATAGAGAAAGAATCAAACCATTTTCAGGTAGACTACTGATGGAAACCACACTTGTTCCATTTAGAGGAGTCTAAACGAGTCTGAGTGTAGGAGGTAGAACAAGGAGGGACAAAGGTGGAGGGCAAGAGAAGCCACAAACGCAGTGGTTTGGAGACTCATGGGTTCAGTGAGATGAAATTTCTGGGACAACGTCACACAGGAAGTGGTGGCCCCAGGATTCAAGTGTTCTCTCATTGGTGAAAAGGGGACAGTGACATTTAATTCAAAAGCAGGGAGATTTAAAAGGACAAAATGGCATTTCTGCTCAAATTTTACATGATGTCTTAGGAAGCACTCAGGAAACAGAACTTCATAAAAGTGGATCTTGTCATCTGGGGTGCCCAGCCTCAAAAAGAGCAATGGTCATGACTCCAGAGGAGAAGGACACGCTCCCCGTGGACATCACGTAGAGTCAGGAAAGCTGGAGGAGGCACATGGCCTCTTTCATCTGAATGAGTGGTGGAGACCCTCTATTTGCATATATCTGTGGGGAAAATTAAAGGCAGCTTTTTTATTCTCCCGCACTCGAGATGCAGCTGGGAGGGCCTTGCAAACAGACCAGCTCAGAGCAGCAGCGGTCTTCCTGACTGGGGTGGCGTGTTTCAGAAGAGCAGATGGCCCTTCAGCTCGGGGGCTGCCCATGGGAGCCAGAACGAACCGTGGTTCATTGCGTGGTTAGTTTTGGTCTTTACGGGGGATTCAGACGGGGTCCTGGGGGCGTCTGTTGGTGATTGCAAGGGAGTCCGGGCATTGGATGGTTGAACAATGTGGTAAAGAGGTGGGAGTGTGGTGGCTTTTTTTCCCCCCCTATCCAAACTGAATGCAGGCTCACCTGGACTTTCCACTCTAATTAAAAATTGTGAACTTGGTCCAGTGGGAAAATGAAAGACAAAGTGTTTCTGCCTTAAATAAGGAGACTGGCTGCTTGGGGGTATTTTATATAAATAGTTACAGATTCTGACAACATGAAGTTAAAATTTGTAAAAGAAGCGCCTGGGTGACTCGGTTTAGGTTAAGTGTCTGCCTTTGGCTCAGGTCATGATCTCAGGGTCCTGGGATCCCGCGTCGGGGGTGTTCCTGCTCAGTGGGGAGCCTGCTTCTCCCTCTCCCTCTGCCCCTCCACCCCAGCCCCTGCTCTCTCTCAAATAAATAAATAAATAAATATTCTTTAAAAAGTATATGTAAAAAAAACTAAATAGCAATACCCAATTGGGATGAGATTATAAAAAATAAAAACAGAAACATGTATGTTCTGCTGGTCGCACTCCCAGACAGCACAAGGCGATACGCAGTGAGAACCAAGCAAGAGCTCGTGGACCCAATCGTTCCTTATCTGCAGATGTAAATCAGCAGCAGGAAAAGGCTGTATGCATGAAGATGCTAAATGAGCCATTAGTTCTAACAGCAAAAACTGGAAATAACCGAAGTACTCCAACATAAGAATTTCCAAACAGTGACCAACCAGCAAGCCGACATATTCGGCATCTGTTAAAATGACTGAAATAAGAAAATTTGCGGAAGGAAAAAGGGAAAAGAGGGGCAGGCAACCAAATAGTTCTCTTTTTAAGTATTGCCTTTAGTGTTGGTACCTTAACTCATCAAAAAGGTGTAATCCAGAGCAGTGTTTTGTGATATCCCTTGGTATTCTGAAATGAACTCAACCGAACTAGCTTGGAGGTGTTGAAAGGTGCACAGAGTTAACCCGTGGGGGGAAGTGTTGCTGTTTTAGAAGCTTTTTCATTGTAAACCTCTGAAAATCGTACCTGCTGGTGACCGGAGCAGGCAGCCGGTGGGCCAGGCGGGCTCTCTGGCCTGGTGCTGACTTTAACGAAAGTCATCCGGCCTCCTCCACTGAAGTTCAAAACAAAACCACCCATAACCCCATTTTACACAGCAAAACCACAAGCCACAGCTTCAGTCTTTGCTGGGGATGCTTCCATTTCTTGTTTCCTGTTGTTTGAAGGGTCTCCCTCGACCAGCCATGGAAGTGGAAACCGGCTGCCTTTGGGAGGGAGAGCCACTCACAAGAAAACGACTCTGGAGCAACCGGCTCTCTCCTCCTGTTCTGGGCGGATCCCGCGGTGCTGCTCCACAGCGGAGAACTCTGGACACGGAGTCCATTAGAAGTTAAAGCTGGGGAAGCGAGGCCAGGTGTAGACCCGTTCATAACCAGGACCCAAGGGAAGGCCCTCGGGTCCTGGTTATGGTGGTGCTGGATAGATGGCATGTATAGAAATAATTCGCCACGATTATACTCAGCGCTGGGCACTGGGAGAACAGCCAGGTCCCATGCCTGGGTACAAAACCAAATAATTTTCTTTGTGAGTAATTCACTCGTTGTATAAATTCAGTACGTATATACCGCTGGTCTACAGGTTACCGGTTAAACAGCGCGAAGTAGCAGAAGGTGCATGGATTTGAAGGTGAGGGACCTGGATTCAGATACGGACTCTGCTGCTCAGAGTAGCAGACTCTCAATCAGTAGGTTACTTTGTTTCTGTAAAGCTCTAGTTCCACCACGTGAGCATAAAGTAAGAAAATGGGTGTGACGTGCCCAGCCAGGCACTGGCACATAGTAGATACTCGGTAAATAGTATCTGCAGTTTGTAGCAGTGATAGTGGTGATCAAAACACGCAGTACCTGTGCGTATATATCACATGGATACTGTATCGCGTGCGCACATGCGCGCGCACACACACCTTACGGTGCGCAATAGCAGCCTTGGATGTAGAATAAGCTAAAAAAGGAGACTCATGGCATCCACTTGCTCACCTGTGCAACCTGGAAGATGCCTACAGACCTGACGCACAGCAGGGAAGGTGGGTAGTTACCCTCCGCTTTGGGTTTCTACAACGTAGCGCTGAGTGTGTGCTTGTTGAGCGAATGACTACATGAAGACTTTGAGCTTCTTGATTTGGGGGAATGCTCACCTCTCTCGTCAGGTTCCCCACGCCTCTTCTTACCGTCCTGATGCCGGGTCCATATGGGAATTAGCCCGCTGACCTTGACAGTGCAGGGAGGCGGGCAGCCCGCAGATTCTCCCTTGGTTCTCTTTGATAGTTTGGGTAGCACCTTGGCTGATGATACTCCAGTGTCCTCTTTGCACTGGCTTAACGTCCACCTTCACCAGAGGCCTACAGCTTAGCTAGAGGCAGTCACCCCTCCACTCCGCCCAGAGAACTTAGATGACGCATCCTCCTGGAAAAGATGTGTTTGAGTCATCAAAGTGGGCTTGGTGCAGGGAATCTGCATGATTTTCACATCACACCTGGTGTTTCAGCAAAAGCGTTCCCTCCATCAGGCCAAAGTGCATTTCTTTACATCCCTGCTGGAATGGGAGAAGGGGTGAGTGGGAGAGAGACCCCCAACTGCTCCCATTCTGATGCACAGATTGTCTGGTCACCAAGAACTTGCTAATTACAAGGGGAGCAAAGCACTGAGGGCCAAAAGAACCCACTAGAAGTAATACCAAAACCTCTCAAGGTGAAATTAAACAATAGTCACTTTTCTTTCTCTCTTTCTCCAACAGAAAATGTGATGCTGGCATGCTAATCGCGGGAGGCAACTTGGCCCACAGACAGCCACAAAAGCACAAAAACAAACTCTGAGAAGAAACAAGACGGTGTTTTCCTGGCATCTACAAGAAGCGCTTTATTTTTCCTCTAGATTTCTTTTCTAAAAAAAGAAAACAAAACAAAAAACAAAACTGAAACAAACATTTACAGACACAGTGCAAACTTCAGGTGATAATATTCAAGCATGTTCTTTTATTAAGCATAGGATGGGAGGAGAGGAAGGTGAAGCGGAAACGCTCAAGCAGGATGACCGGGAGGCTGGGAACCTCCACGATCAGGTTGCTTCTTGAAACTGCAAATGAGGAATGAGGGGAACAACTTTTTTCTCCTCCGCCCCCACATATCCTGTATATTCTCATGGATGCGATGCTTCCTTTCTTGCCCGCCAAGGTGTCTAGGGAATGATCTGCAAAACTCGTTTGTAATAATCAAGAATTTTGGGGCAGCTTTGGCAAGGGGCTTGGGCCAGCCCTTTGGGACCCACCAGCTGTGTCTAGCCCACCCATTTCTAAGTGTCACTTCTCTCTTGGCTGGCTGGACCAGGGGTCCCAGAGCTCTCTCCCCGTCACTGCTGCGCCCACTCAGGCTTGGTCAGGACGAATGAAAGGATCCACGCTGGCCTCGGCCGGCTCCAAGCTACAGTGGGGCGGTGGCGGTGGCGGTGGCGGTGGCAGGGGGGGGGGGGGGGGGGGGGGGGGCGGGGACAGAGGGCACCTGGCTATTGTAAGCGACGCGCGAGAACAGCTCGGGCTTCCACAGCGCCACAGGAGCCTGCATACCAGCTCAGCGCTCACCGTCCAACAGGCCACCGCCAGGAAAGCAAAGAGACGCCGGCCTCGCCCAGCCCCAGAAAATAGAGTTGGTCCCCCGGGGCCTGCAGTTCCCATCGGTACTTGGTATTTTTTTCCCTCTGTCGTCACTACTCGTATGTATTTCCTCTGCTCTGGCGGATCTGTGTCGGGCGTGGGGGGGCGGGGGGAGACACCGAAAGCCCCTGGCTAGTCCGGTGGCAGGGGTCCAGCGGCGGCAGCTGCGCAGGCGCAGACGCGCAGGGTCAGTGCGCGCGCCGAGGCTCACCGGGCGCGCGCTTAGCCGGACCGGCCGCCGGGTCCCTCCTGGATCAGCCTCTCGCTGAGCGCCCACAGGGCCCGCGCCGTCTCCTCGCTCTGGGCCTCCGGGGCCGGCGCGCAGCGACAGCAGTTGTTGAAGTACATCCCTCCGAGGCCCTCCAGCTCCGGGGCGGCCGCGCAGTAGACGGTCGTGGCAGCTCCTTGTTGCTGAAATCAAAGAAAAAAGACAAAAAAAAAAAAAAAAAATTTTTTTTTTTTTTAAGAAAAGAGGTGATGAGCTGACTTCATTCTGTCTGCGAATTAGCAAGCCTCGCGCTGCCTGGTTCTGGTGTACCTGGATCTCAGCATGGCCAAGGGCACTGAGCTCAGCACGTGACTGTACAAGGTACAATGTGGCGTCCTGGGAAAGCAAATTCACCCACTCTGCAGTGTCCCTTTTCACACCTTGTAGAGGAAAAGGCTTCAGAAATAAATATGCATATCAGTCAGTCACAGCAGAGGTCTCTTCTGAGGAGTGAAAGACAGCAAGCATCCTTTTGCGCACCCAAGAACAAATGCACCCAACCCGCTGACTTCTCAATGAATGATGCAACTTGACACCAAGATGTTTCTAGAACCTTCTGTCTGAATTAAACCAACCACTCTAATGGCCCATCGGATAGAGAGGGACTGGTGCCAGAGCTTTATTTTTTGCTCACGGTGCTGCTAGGGGAAGTTTTCAGTGCTGTGTGGAAATGTCTGACACACACACAGACGCCGGGCCCTGCCGTACACACAGGCCTCGTGCAGACGCACGACACGTGTATTCACTCATCTAGAGCCTGTGAAACCTTCTGTTAATGTCATATTCACCCTGTATTTGCAATCGGACAGTGACGAACGGGGGACTTTTCTTCTCAGCCCACCTCAACCTGTAAGTTGCGATGAGCGCGATCGAGTACTTTTGATTCCCCTTTTGAGTAACAGTCGGTGCTGTGGCTAGGGCTGTGCATGCCGGCGGGGCACCACATCATCCTGGCTGACACGGGGCTGTCAGGGATGCTGTAAAGAGGGCAAGAAATCACTTTGCTTTGCAAGCCATAATTAAAAATAATAGGCTGGTGTTCATAGGGAGACACGGTAGGCACGGCTCTAATTTAAAACCAATACAGTTTATCTGGCGTCTTACGATTATTTATGTGCATCACAGCCCTCGCCGCGCCAACTAATTATCAGCTGATAGGGAGGGGGTTGGCGGAAGTGGATGGAAAAGGTAATGGGGATAAGGTCACCATTAGAGAAGACACTCAGGGCATTTGACAGAGTGGGAAATGCATTTCTGTCCCCATCCAAAGCTTACCATTTTTCCTGCCCCTGTAAGGTGGACGTTGGGCCCAAGCAGAGAGCTGCGTGGAGAAACCCCCCCAAGGTGGTTTGGTTTGTGCATACTGTGACTGTGCTCTAGAACCTCTGGACGCCAGGGTCCTTTTGAGCATCAGGATCTCCAGGTGTTGTAATTTTAGTGCTATAAAGCAGGCTTGAGTTTTTCTTTGTTTGGTAGCAGAGGACTTCAGCAGCAGTTTTTATGGTCATATTTGAATGAGTCTGCAAAGCAAATGGTCAACACAGAGGAGTGACAGGACTGTGGGGAGCAGGGCGGAGTGAAGAGGGGGCGGGACCTCGTCGGACGCGAGTTCTGAGGATTACTGGTGCTTGACTGGGCTGGAGAAGTCCATTACTTCAAAATTTGAACACCCAGCATGACTTCGATTTAATTAAACAATAATTGGTGTTTAACTTCCCCAAGCCCCTCGCCGTGCCCACTCCCCAGCCAGCCAGTAACTTTCTTGGATTCAGCTATTTTCGAATTGATTTGTGCGGCTCAAGTGTAATGGGAATTAGCTCATGCCATCCAAGTTTCCTCTCGCTGAATTATCATTTCTAATAACCCTTAGCTTAGCACCTGGCACATTTATCGAAAGAATTTCGAGTGGTTTATCTGACTCCTCTGCACCCCACGTGGGGGAAGAAGGGAAGCCGAGGGCCTGCCAAGACCAGCGGGAGAACGGAGCCGCGCACCCCGCTCCCTCAAGCCGGCCGCGCTCTCGGCCGCGACTCCCAGCAGAGCTCAGGTGGAGATGGCGGTCTGCATAATTTTCCAGGTACCCGGGATCCCCATCTTACTCTGCAGCTGCCCGAACCGCCAAAGAGTGGTCAGGTGGTGTGCCACCAGCTCACCCCCCACGCCCAGGCCCCCGCCCTGCTCAGGAGCCCCGTGCGGGCAGCGCTCCCGCAGCGCCGCCGCGATCGGGCCAAGCCGGTCCTGGGAAGATCGGAACCGGCCACTGGGGAGAGCGGAGAGCGGAATTCTTCCCAACCCAACGCAGTCTTGCCACCGTGACCTTCTGAAGTGACAGCACGTGGCACTCTGGCACTGCGGGATTGGTGTTTTCGCGGAGAAATTCTCCACTTCCGTTGACTCAGAGCCAGGCTGACGAGGGAGCCGGGGGGCCTGGCTTTTCCCTCCGTGGGACCGGACAGCGGCTGCTGCGGACCTCATCTCACGGCCGCTGATGTGTGGCTGCCGTGCTGGGAACCGTCAGTTTTAGAAAAGCCCCACCTCTTACCAAGAGCTGGCTTTGGTTCCTCTGCCACAAGGCTCGGTGACACACCGTCTTAGTGGCATCACCGGCGACGCCGGCTTTGTGGAAGCGCGCGGCGCCGCGGGGGCCCCGGAACGCAAAGCCCGTGTCCTCCACGGCGCAGGAGAGCCGCGGCGCCCGGCAAAGCGGCCTCCGGGGTCTCGCTCCGTCCAGCGGGCGCCCGCTTCCCTGTCCTCGCCGCTGGACGCGTCCGTAGTGACGGTACCCTTCAGTCCCAGCCCCGCTCCCCTCCTGGCTTCTCGGGGAATTCTCTTTTCAGCTGTACCCATGGCAGCCTCTGAGTGACATCTTTATAGGACCAGAGGTGATGACAGTTTAACAACCAGTTCTAATTTTTGGCTCATCAGCTTTTTGGTCGGCCTATCAGGAGAATGAGATGGCGCCACATTAGGGAAATCTCAGTAAATAAGCCGGTACTGCAGATACAAGATAAAACATTTTTAAACTGATAAAAACATTTTTTTAAAGAGCCCTTTAATCGCCGTCGAATGACTTTCCTGCCACTTTTTGGGGCATCGGTTCATAACTTGGAAAAGCTGAAAGAGCGTGCAAAGAAGTGATGCTAACAAGTCTGCTGCAAAATGTCCGAAGCAGCGTCTTGCTGGCTGGCCGCGCTGCGCACCGTCCGTCGTGACGAAATAACAGCAACACTCGACACGTGAACACCGGCTGGCGTCGCGGGTTCCCCTAAATGAACTTCTCGGAGCAATTTATCGGAAGCCGGTAGGTTGCGCCAAGCCCCGGGAACGGGGTGTCACAGCTCCATCCCGGGGACACGGCGTGAGGTAGGGTGTGGATGACACCGGCCTGAAAATTTCTGGGAAGCCCAGCAGAATCTTTAATCATGCCCGAATGCCATTTCCGATCTAGTCGAACATTTGCGAGCTGCCAGAGGAGAAGTGTGCCATCGGTCTTTATAGTGTGTGTAAAATTACCTACGATTCTTGTTTGGGATTAAGTTAAGAGTATCTGGGCAATAAGGGTTCATCATTCTCTTTCAGAAATCATTTGTCAGATCTGCAGTACAATCAGCAACTACAGAAAGGTGGGATTTAAAAAGCAGTTGTTTATTTATAGTTGAGGCCGTGACATCTCAATTATCCATCCTTCCAGAACCCTTTGTCGGGATGAAAATGTTAAGTAGCTACCTTTCAGCAACATTTATTTGCTCGCCGCTGGCCACCACTTTGGAGCTGTCTGCGTGGAACACAAATGAATATTGACTCTTTTAAAGGAAAAGGCACAGAGGTTTCTGGTAAACAATATATGGGAGAGAAAAAAAAAAAAACACCCCCATGCTGGTATCTGTGATGCATTGGTTAGTACTCTAATGTAACGTACATTTTAATAAGGACACTTATTACATAACATTCAGTTTTCGAGTTCCTCTATTTTAAACTGCATGCTCACTTAAAAGGAAGAATATATTCCTGTCTTAAAGTAGATTTCACTATGAGATGTATAAAAAGATAAAGACACACTGTCACGGAATATCTATATATTCAATGATCTCGAGAGTAGGAGATGTTCTAAGATTGCTTTACTACAGACATACCGATACCAGGACATCGACGACACATGCCAAATCAGCGAGTTCAAGACAAAGTAGTTGTGTCAAGAAACGTGGCATGGAAGTTAGCCTGAGTTCAGAACCCCAAGGGCTCGAACAAGAGCCTTTTTGGAAGTGGGTGGCGATGACCGTGCTGAACTCCGGCACAGGGATGGCAGGAACCCAGTGCCTCTCCAAACCCTCCACGCTTTCCCTGTTACCTGTCTGGGATCCGTTAGGCGAACCTACACTTGCCCAGCGCAGAACCAGCCACCCGTCCAGTCCTTCAGAACACGGCAGTGACGGAGCCGCTGTGGAGACGAGGGGGCAAGGGCGCGTATATCAGGTGGCATCCGCAGCCACCGCCACATCCTGTCTTTCCCTCTCAGGAGTACTCCCGACAGAAGAGTCTGGAACCACTCGACCGGAGAAGTGCAGCACCTTGTTGCAGAGCTCCTCTCCGGACACCTTGGTACACCTCCGTCCCTCAAAAACAGTTACGGGTTCAGTCTCCGATGTGCGAGGCAAACCCGAGCAGACAGTCCCCCCCCCACCTGTTATCAGGTCCCCACCTGCCATCAGAGAACAATCTTCTAAGTCCCCAGCACGTGCCGAGTGTTTCATTAGTTCATGGAGTCAGCCTGCGGGAGTAAGGCTCAGGGGCCTTCCCCAGGAGCGCAACCACAGCCACGAAGTCACCCCCTTCCTCTACCACCGAGCATCTAAAAGGCTGCTGTCCTCCACATCGTCACGCTCTTCCAGGGACTGGACGGCAACAGGGACTGTCTGAGGGGTGACAATGGCTAGCACGCACAGACAGCTTACAACCGGTCAGTCACCACGCAGCTCCCCGAGCCGGGAGCAACCGTTACCCTCATTTGTAGAGAAGGCCGCTTCGCGTCAGAGACGAAAAGCAACATGCCCAAAGCCGCACGCGTCACCGCGCAGGTCCACCCGCTCCAGAATCCGTATCCGCCGCTGTGCAAAGCCTCCTTCCCAAACACGGGACACGAATG